CCACCTGCACCGGGGCCGCCGCCTGCACGGCCTGCTCGGCCGGGCACTTCCTGGCCGGCGGCTCGTGCGTGGCCTCCTGCCCGGCCGGCACCTTCCCCGCACCCGGCGACCTGTGCCAGCCCTGCCACGCTGCCTGCCTCGAGTGCGCCGGGCCCGGGGACCACCAGTGCACGGCCTGCCCGGCGGGCGACCTGCTCGGGCCGGATGGCACCTGCGGGCCCGCCTGCCCGGTGGGCTACTTCGCCGATGCCCCGGCCTCGGGCCCGGCCGCATGCCAGCCGTGCGACGCGTCGTGCGCCGGCGCGTGCGACGGCCCCGGCCCCAGCCACTGCCTGGCGCCCTAGAGGCTCCCCGGCCGGGGGGGGGGGGGGGTCGCCCCTCCATGGTGTGCCCCTCCGGCGCCGCCCCCGTGGCCGGCCTTTCGTGCACAATACACGCCCCCCTCGCCGACCAGCCGCTTGGTTGCTTTTTTGTTTGTTGTCTGCCTGCTCTTCTGCCCGCCTTTTCTGCTTGTGCTTCTGTCCGCTCTTCTGTCCGCCCTTTTTGCTTGCCCCGTGCCGGCATCCTGGCGGTGGGCCGCACCGCGAGGCCGGCCGCACGCCACCCCGGCCATGGCCGGGCACACCCCGCACAAGACCGATCGCGCGGGCGCTCTCTCCGGATGGGCCCGCACCCCACTCGGGACAGCCACAGCCCCGAGTCGTGGGCACCTCGCCGGCGCGCACCCGCCCAGCGGCCGCCCCGAGGGGGGAGGCGGGCATGCCCATATGCCACAGGCGGTCGGTGCCACCGGCGCCCCCTGGCCCGAGGGGGTTGCGGGCATTCGCGCGACGCCCGGGCCCAGGCCGGCACCGGCCCCCGCGTTCTCCCGAGCGGCCGCCAGCCGGCCGCCCCTGGCCCGTGCCAACTCCGGCGCCCCGCCAGCCGGCCATGTGCGTGTCGGTACCAATGTGCCCTCGGTGCGCAACCCCCGGCCGGGGCGGCGGGCCGTGCGGCGTCGCGCCCCGCAGCGCGTGGCCCCGCCCGGCCCCTCGCCCGGGGGTTGCGCACAGACACGGCCGGGGCCCCGCCGCCCGCCGCGCCATCGCACTTCCCGGAACCCGGCCGATGTGCCGGCGCCCGCGGGAGTCATGGCGTCGGCCCTTCGGGCCCGGAGGCCGGACCCCCGCCCCCGCGACGGGGCGCCCGCCGCGCGAAGCCCCGCCCAGCAGGCCCGGCGCGCGCAGCACCGCCCTCTCAACTCCCAACGTGCCGGGGGCCCCGGCCCGCGAGCGCCGCCGCCCGCCATGCCGGCTGGAGGGGGCCCGCGCGCCGGGCGCCGTGGTTATGTGCGCGGCCGCGCTCGCGCCCACCCGCCCGCCCGCCCGCCCGCCCGCCAACCGGGGCGCCCCTCGGACGACCAACTTCCAACTCTTGGCCCGGTGCCCGCGCCCGGCCCCCCGGCCGCGACCGGGTCTCCCCGGGCAGGTGTGTGCCGGGCCCACCCAATGCCGGCCCCTCTTCCGGCGGGGGGGGGGGGGGAGGCGAGCGGGCGGCCCTCCCCCGGCCCGGGCCAGGCCCGCCGGCGCGCGCTCAGGCCGGCTCCGGGCCCCTGCGGCTGGCTCGCCTCGCGTGGCGGCGGGCCTGCCGCGCCCAGGCCACCGGGCCCAGGACCCCTGCACATGGCCCCCCGGCTGGCGGAAGGTGTCCGGCACCGGTGCGTCGGCCCGCCCCACCGGCCGGCCCGTGGCCCGACCACGATGCTCCTGTGCTGGCGATCACACGGCTGGGGCCAGCCTTGGCCGGCCCGCACGCCACGCGCACAGGCATGCACACACCGAGCCCGGAGCTGCCGCTCCTGGCGACCGCACCGCCGGCACTCGCAAACCCCGGCACACCGCCGGCAACCAGCCGCCCTGGCGGGGCCCGCGCCGTCCGACGCGGCTGGCCCCTGCGCCGGGCGGCGGCCGCAGCGCATGCGCGTGCACCGGCCCCCGGCCGCGGCGCCGGCCGCCCCCGAGCTACCGGCTGGCAGGCCCATACAGCACGCCACCGCTGTCCGCCCCCCCCCCCCCCCCCCCCC